GGGCCCGCCCTCCACCTCCAACTCACCTCGGCCTCCGCCCCTTTCCCGTCTCCCTCGACCCTACCCCCCCCCCCCCCCCCCCCCCCCCTCCCCTCGCCTCCCCCCTGCCAGTTACGTCGCTGACGGCGGCGTACGAGCTGCGGGCGGCCGGCTACGCGGTGCACATCTTTGCGCGCGATCTGCCGTCGGACTCGACGTCGCAGGCGTTTGCCTCGCCCTGGGCCGGCGCCAACTGGTGCACCTTTGCAAAGACGCCCCAGGAGCAGCGTCGCGACCACGCAACGTTCCGCCGCTGGACGCAGCTCAACAAGACGCTCCCCGACGAGACCATGGCCATGATGGACTTTACCCACTTTTTCGACCAGCGCGAGGAGCTGTGGTTCCGCGACGTCGTCTTTGACGTGAGTCGGTGCGGGCTGCCTGCGGCGTGTTTGCGTCCCGCTTTGCTGACCACGCCACATTGCCTCTCGCCCGCAGTTCAAGGAGATTCCCGCCATCCCCGGCTCGCAGTACGGCACGAGCTACCGCAGCTTCACCATCTCGGTGCCCAACTACACGGCCTGGCTCGTCTCGGAGCTGACGTCGGCCTCGCCGCGCCACATCAAGCCCAGCGGGTCTCGGCCCCTCCGTCCGCCCGTGACGATCCAGCGCACCTCGACCGTGGCCTCGCTGGCCGACGCCGCGTCGCTGCACCCGGCGTCGTCACTAATTATCAACGCGACGGGTCTGGGCGCCGCGGCGCTCGACGACGTCCGCGACGCCGCCGTCCACCCGATCCGCGGCCAGACGCTGCTCGTCTCTGTGCCCGCCTTTACCGGCAAGGACTCGATCGCGCGCTGCGTCATGAAGCCCGGCCAGCCCACGCTCTACGTCATCCCGCGCGCCCAGTCGGGCCTTGTCATCCTCGGCGGCTCGTTCGAGGTCGGCTCCGACCAAAAGTCGCCCAACGACGCCATGACCGACCGCATCCTCGAGGGCTGCGTCGACATCTGCCCGCAGCTGCTGTGGCAGGACCCGCAGGGCCGGCGCAGGCACGCCGACTGGAAGGAGCTCAAGCAGAAGGGCCTCGTCGGCATCAACGTTGGCCTGCGTCCGGGCAGGGAGGGTGGCGCCCGCGTCGAGCGGGGCGACAAGGTGCGCGGCCGCAGTGGCAGCGCCGTCGACGTCATCCACGCCTACGGCATCGCCGCCAGCGGATACCAGTCGAGCTTTGGTATTGCAGAAGAGGTGGCCCAGCTCGTCGAGCAGTGGGCGCACGAGGGGCAGGCGCGACAGGCGCGGCTGTAGGTGGCAGGCCGGCGACGCAATAGAAACGGGCGGTGCAGCGAGCGAGACTGCCGCTGCGGCGGGCCGCGAACCGCGTGTGCGACGCGGTGGGAGTATTGGCTACTGCCGTTGATCAAGGGCCGCTTGCGCAGCGCGGCACCATCAAGGCCGCCCGTGGACGGAGCTGTCGCTCACTTTGCTCTGAATCGCCGCGCCGCCGTACTAGCGAATCGTGTATCCCGGCTAAGAGGGGAAGAGCGTTTGTCCCGGCCTGAGCCGAGTGGCCAGGCTACGTGGCAGGGCGGGCCGTCGCGTTCCATCGCGGGCGTGGCTGCGAGGTCGGTTGCGGAACGGACCGAGGACTTGGCATAGCTGAGTCGGGCATTTCGACGCGATGCCGTGCCATCATGCCCGGCCAGCTGGGAAGACGCCGCAGCGGTCCACGCCGCCCGCGGCATGCTGTCGATACGGCACCCTTAGCCCCGATTTCAAGCCGACAACAGACCGTACGAGATCTAAGTTCAGCCTCGTCTCCTTTGTTTCGTTCGCGAGCTAGGAGGATCTCGGACCACGCTCCTAGTCTGCAGGCTGGGCGCACTACTTGGCGCGTGACGGGTCGCCATTTAGCCGGCGGCCGTTCCGTAGGCGGCGCAACCCCCCGGCCCTTCCGCACGGCGAAAGAGGATCCGCCTGGTGGCCATGTCGGATAGAGTCGATACTGCATCCGCTCAACGTTTGACTTTCAGGACATCATCCATTCGGCTCGTCCGGAAGGCCAGGCAGAGCACGACTCCAGGACTGGACCACTGACAGGCCACCAGCCTCGAACCTTGCCGCCTTGTCTGCACCCACAGGTCGTGCTCAGTGACCTTCCTCTCACGACCAATTGTCCTCTCCGCCGCCAGCGCTAATGCGCATCGCTATCGCGCCTTGGCGCACAGTGGACGAGCGGGCAGAATCTGCGATTCATGGCGGATGGCGCTAAACTTGACCTGCTGGCGCGATCGGTCAAGGGCGGGCACACATTCACGAGTGGCGCGTATCACGGCCCAAGCCGCATCGACAGCCTGCCGCCTCAACATCCCGCCGCCCTCGTCAAAACGGACAGCCCGTCGGTGAAGAGGATGCCGCACCGATTCTTTCGGGAACAGAGAGGAGATAGCGCTTCTTCAAAGTCCGCCTCCCCTCGAGACGACCACCACCTCGTCTATTCAGGACGCCATCGCCAGCGCTTTGCACCGAGACAACCTAGGTGCCAACTCGGCCCATCCCGCGATCCCCACTGGCGGTAGCGGTGCGGCCAGCCATGATGCTGCCCGGCGATTGGCCCAGCATGGATGCACACAATACCTCTTGCGCGGGGCGCTCCCTTCCTGCGGGCGGCTCAGCCGACGTTGGGAGGATGCCGCACTGCGCTCGGGCGCTCGTCCTTTCGCGGTCCTTCACTTGCCATCTCGAGGGCTCGGACTCCAGCAGGTCACAGGATGGCTCGCTGCTAGCAGAACTTGTCGAGCAAGGCGGTTCCCAGACGTGTGCAAGGAGATATAAGGCAGCATCGCAGCGAGGACCTCCAACAGCATCTCGTCAATATCGACAGCCATCTCCGCGTCTCGAACCCCCCGATCGCAACAGCGCCCTCCAAGCCTCCATCTCGATCCGCCCCAGACTTTTCACTCACCCGCCACAAACCTGGCCTCCCACCCATGAAGCTCTCCATTGTCTTTGTCGCCGCGCTCATCGGCGCCACCACCGCGAATCCCCTCGGTGGTATGGGCTCCGGACTCCTCGGTGGCGGCTCGAGCGGTGGCTCCGCTGGCGGATCTCCCGGCGGCCTCCTCAGTCGCTTACAGGGTGGATCCGCGGGCGGATCTTTCAGCGCTTCCAGCCCTGACGGTGTATCTGCGGGTGGGTCTTCCAGCGCTCCCAGCCCGGGCGGTGTATCCGCGGGTGGATCTTCCAGCCCTCCCAGCCCGGGCGGATCTGCCGGCAGCGCTGCCCCGAGCCTCCTCGGCGGCGGATCTGCCGGCGGCCTGTCGAGCCTCCTTGGAGGTGGGTCGAGCGGTGCATCCACGGACGGATCTGCCGGCGGATCTACCGGTGGCTCAGCTGGTGCACCCTCCGCTGCAAGCCCAACTTCCCCGGGCGGCGGCGCCGGAGGGAAATGCGACAGCTACAGTGAGTGAACCCGTCAGTGCGGGCAACAGCGGCGACGACGCCACACAGCCCTGACTTGTCCGCTCCCCGTCGCCCGTCGCTCGACGCACGTCTGCCAGCCATCATCAACACCAGAGGAACTACAGAGCTCCAAGGACCCTCGGTCGGCTTCCTGGGCATGAACCAGCAGCTGCTCATGGCTGCCCCGGGCGGCAAGCAGGTGAGTGCCTGCGCAGTCGACGGCGCCGCGTCACAACCTCTTGACGATCGCCGCCCCCGTCGCCTCTGCTCGACAGTACAACACCCTGTATCCTGCCGACTGGAGCCAGATCTCGACGGTGGGAACATTGGATGTGAGTGGCAGGCGCATCCGCCCGCCCTCCGGCCGAGTGACGCCTTGGCTGACCGTTGGCTGCCCATGCCCACGCCGAAAGATCGTCAACAAGGTCAACAGCGTGCTGCGTACAAGCCCGAAGGAGTGCTTCATCCTCCAGGGCTACTCGCAGGGCGCCGCCGCCACCACCAACGCCATGCCCAAGCTCACCGGAGCCGCCTTTGACGCTGTCCGGGGCGTCGTGCTCGTGAGTCGGCCCGACGTTGCCGTGGTGGCCCCGCCGTGCGATGGCGTGGACTAACGACCTCGGACCCCCGCCCGGTTTCGACATCACCAGGTGGGAAACCCCGAGCGGCAGCCTGGAAAGGACTGCAACGTCGACGACCGCGGCGGCAGCTCCACCAAGATGGTCGGCGGCATGATGGCCATGCTGGGCGGCATCCCGGCTAACTGGGTCCCCAAGGTGCTCGACATCTGCATCTTTGTGAGTCTGACGGCAGCGACGTCGCAGTGTTGTCGCTTGACCTGGCCGCGCTGACGACGGCAACCTTCCTCCCCTCTACTCGATGGCGTCGGCATGGCGACGCAGGGCGACGGCGTGTGCGACACCACCCACGGCTTCGGCATCAACCCGCCGCACCTCCTCTATGGCGGATCGAGCTCCGTGCAGGGCATGGGTGCCAGCTACATGAAGAAGGCCCTCGGGTACTGAGAGAACCGCCCTGCGCTACCTCCTCAGCTCTTTTCCCCCGCCCGTCATCACGGTCGCTCGATGCGCCGTTGATGGCGGCTGCCACGCTCGCTCTGTGTCTCCCTGGCTCCTTAGAGCCCCTCGCCGTCCTTTCTTTCCCTACCGGTTCGGAAAGTTCTACACAGTCTCGCAATGCTGAATGTCAGGTACTGGCCTGGTGCCGTCCCGACGTCAATCGAGATGCTGACCGTCCTTGTCCAGCTGACAAAGAGCTTGTCTGATTCAGACCGCTCGTCTTCGTGGAAGAAATGTGGCGGAGCCGAGCTAGCGAGCAAGACTGGGCTCAAACGCTGGCCAGACCAGAAGATTGTGGCACCCCCGGTGATGGCCGGTCCTCATTGATGCAGAGCAACATCACCGCATGGGCTGAGTTCCATCACCCACTCGCGGCCAAGGAGCGCTCGGTTGGTGGTCCCGGTCGAATTCGTGAACGGCGGACGGGTCAGGTGGTATGTCAATGTTACAAACAGCGAGGGCGTCGTTCCTCGTCTCTGACGGGCATGTCGAGCAAGTGGGCATTGCCAAAGGGGCAGCAGCGGCGGCCGCCGGTGGTGTATGAATAACAGGCGTGGGGGCGAGATGGAGCAGGTTGCGCGAATGGGATCCACCATGGTGACCTCGCCATCACTGCTCGCCGTATCCGTTCGGGTTGTTGCTCTGCCACCTCCAGAGGTCCTGGGCCTGCGGTCAGAGTGGGATGCAAGCGTTCAGAGACGGAGGAAGGTGCGTTGGTCAGCCATCGCCGAGGAGCCGCCTGTTAGACACGCAGGGAACGCCTCTGCGGCCACTTACCATGTCGTCGAGCGTCCGGGTGGCCTTGAAGCCGAGCTCCTGCTCGGCAAGCGTCGGGTCGGCGGTGAGGTCGGGGACGTCGCCGGTCCTCCTGCCGACGATGGTCGTGGGGAACTCGTAGCCGGACACCTTGCGCATGGCGTCGACCATGTTGAGGACGCTCATGCCGACGCCCTTGCCGAGGTTGTAGGCGCGGTACTTGCCCTTGGTGTCGGTCTTGCCCTCGGCAAAGATCTCGTCGCGGTCGAGGGCCTCGAGGGCGTTGACGTGGCCGCCGGCGAGGTCCTCGATGTGGATGTAGTCGCGGACGCAGGTGCCGTCCGGGGTCGGGTAGTCATTGCCGAAAACCTTGAGGCCGCCCTCGCGGTACTTGCCGACGGCCATCTGCGAGAGGAGGGGCAGCAGGTTGCCCGGCTTGCCTCGCGGGTCCTCGCCGATCAGGCCCGACTTGTGCGCGCCGGCGGGGTTGAAGTAGCGCAGGCCGATGGCGCGCCACTCGGGGTAGGCGTCGCACGTGTCGCGGATGATGACCTCGCTCATCCACTTGGTGCGGCCGTAGACCGACTCGGGCGCAAAGGGAGACGTCTCGGGGATGGGCACCTTGGGCGGCGTGCCGTAGACGGTGGCCGACGAGCTGTACACGAGGCGGGTGCACTTGTTCTCGTGCATGACCGAGAGCAGGTTGACCAGGCCGCCGACGTTGACGGCGTAGTAGCTGCGGCGGTGGCGGGCGGCGGCAGCGGCGACGTAAGGGGGAAGGTCAGCCTCGGGTCTCTTCTTAGGAGCAGCGGATCGTGCTCCGGCACTCACTCGATCGGGATCTCGGAGCTCTCTCCAACGGCCTTGAGCGCGGCGGTGAGGATGACGCCCCAGATCTTGTCGTCGCCCGAGTAGGCGTCAAAGACCTTCTTGATGTCGTCCTTGGACCGGAGGTCGCCCTTGAAGACGTCGACCTTGCAGTCGTCCTTTTCCTGCTGGGACGCGCCCTCACCGAGCTCGTCGATGGCGATCTTCTCGAGGCGCTTGACGGCGGTGGGGAAGGCATTGTGGAAGTTGTCGAGCACGGTCACGCGGAACTTGCGGGTGAGGAGCGTGACCAGGGCGACGTGCGAGCCGATGTAGCCGGCACCGCCGGGGATGAGGATCCTGGGCTTCTGGGAGGTCATCTTTGCGTGCAGAGCGGGGCGGTAGGTGGGGCAGGTGTGGATGGTGATGGTGAGGAGGGTGGCAGTGAGGAGAACGAGTGCGAGATGAGCGAGGCGAGACGAGAGGATCAGGACGCAAGAAGAAGCTTGGATCGATCCGACGTGAGCAGCAAGCAGATCAGAGCGCTCTTCTCCTTCGGCAGCTCCGAAGGACGAGGCTGGGGGCGCCGCCGTGGACGGGTTTCGGCGTGCACCGACAACCGTGCGTGGGCGGGTGCGTGGGTGCGTGCGAGGGAGCGCGCCAGGCCAGCCAGAAAATGACGCATGGGCCGTCGCCTGCTCGGCGCCGGCAGAAAACGACGCCTGCCTGCTGGAAGCAAGGAATTCTTCGCACAATAACGGGGGGCCTCAGAGGGCCAGGCAAGATTGCCGGAATCGAGCCGGTCGACGACACCCGCAAGCCCGGCGACGGCGCCGAAACAGGTGGTGCACGTCGTGCTGCCGGCTTGGTCTGGTGGCGAGCGACATCGCTGACGATGGTGTCGAGCAGGGACGAGCGACGGCGACGGCGGCGCTTGACACCAGGGAGGATCCGCAGGCAGGCCACGCAAGCATCGGCTCAGAGCCGCGAGCGAGCGGAAGGGGCCGATGGCCGCAAGAAAGCCGAAATCGATCAAGCGACGGCGTGGAGATAGATGGCCTGCCTCGACCTCGATAGGGCGCTCCCACCGGCATGTTTGTCGCAACAACATACAGCTCAGCTTACCGATAACGCCGTCCGCCTCGCACACGACGACCAAGTACGGCGATCAAGGCATTCTTAATTCTTGCGGCCTTTGTTCTGGAAACTCTTCGCTGCCACCACCGCCACGCCGGCGCATTAGGAGGAGCGCGCACGATGATGGCTAGGCTGCCTCTGGTATCCCTGCGCCTCGCGCCGTTCCGGCCATCGGCTCGGCCCATCGCCCGTTCGATGCGGCGCCCGCTCTCGATGAACGCTCCGCAGCCCTCTCCTGCGCAGCAAGGCTGGGGCCTGGCACCGATACCGTGCTCCTTCTACCGCGGCGGGACTTCGAAAGGCCTGCTATGGCCGGCGTCGACCTTGGCTCGGTTCCCTTCCGATGTGCGGGACAAGATCATCTGCAGCGCAATGGGATCCCCGGACCCGGACAAGCGCCAGATTGACGGCCTGGGAGGCGGCATCAGCTCGCTCTCCAAGACGGCCGTCGTGGGGCCACCATCGTCGTCGCTCAGCCGCGAGGTGCAGCGGCGAGGCGACAATCACCGCTGGGTCGGCGACGTCGGCGAGTGGATCGACGACGAGGTCAGGGCGGCAGCAGACGACGCCGGCGGCTGGGACGTCGTCTACCGCTTCGGACAGGTCCCCGTCGAGAAGGGCAATCAGATCGACTGGTCGAGCACCTGCGGCAACCTCGTTTCGGCCGTGGCGCTCTTTGCACTTCAGGAAGGCGTCGTCCCGCAGGCAAAGGTCCGGGCCCACTTTGCTAGGACTCAGCCCGCGCGGCCAATCCCAGAGGACGGCGACACGACCATGTTCCCCGTGCGCATTCTCGCCGCTTCGTCGGGCCACATCGTGATCGCCAGCGTGCCCATGATCGCTGTGAGCAGCCGCGGCCAGGCGGGACGGCAAGTCGCCTGGCACCCCGAAGTGACGGGCACCACCACCATCTCTGGCGTACCGGGCAAGGCGCCCGGGATCCTCGTCTCGACGCCCCTTGACACGTCGGTCCTCCTGCCCACCGGCCGGTCCCTCGACAGCCTGACGGTGCAGGGCCACACCTTGCCGCTGACCGTCATCAATGCAGGGCTGCCCACCATCTTCCTCCCGGCCTCGTCGATCCCATCCTCGATCCTTGACGCCGACGCGCTGCCGACCCTCTCGCCGTCAGACCTCGACGCCAACCGCCCTCTGATGAACCTGCTGGAGGAGGTCCGGCAGGCGACGGCCACCCTCTCGCCGGCGCTCGCCAAAGCCATGTCGCCGTCGGCGCCAAAGATCTGCCTCGTCCACCCCTCGCAGCCGCAGGGCTACGCCACCACGGGCGGCCAACGGGTCGAGGGAGACGAGATGCACATCCTCATCCGCGCTGTCAGCGTCGGCAACGTCCATCGCACCGTGCCGGCCACGTGCCTCTCTGCGCTGGCGTGCGGCCGAGCGTTTGCCGATTCGACCATCGAGCAGGCCGTGCGGCAATCGAGCTGCGGCCCGGCGGCGGCCGAGGACGAAGAAGGCATCCGCAGCATCTCGGTCGGCCAGCCGGCGGGCGTCTCTTCGGCTTCGATCCGATTGGTGAAAGCGGATGGCGGAGGCGAGGTGCCGGAATCGATCGTCTATTACCGCACCGCGAGGAGGATAATCAAGGGGAGCATCGACGTACCGGCCGAGCTGATACGGGATCATAAAGAGGAATAGATAGATCCAGATCGTCGACAGAGCGTCGAGCTCGAGCGGTCCACCACCGCTACTGCTTGAAGAAGCTCCAGGCCCATGCCAGCGTCTTGGCGGCATACCAGGCGCCCACGATGCCCAGGCCCCAGCAGCACGCATCGCCGACCTCGCTCAGGCTCCTGAGCTCGGCGGGGACAACGACAAACCTACCGCTGTCGTCCCGTTTGGTCTCTAGGCCGCGCTCCTTGGCGACCTTGTCAAAGGCGCCCTGGACAAAGTCGCCGTGCCTGTAGAAGCTGCGCATCAGCTCGTCTTTTTGCATCCAGCGGTTGCGCAGCCACTCATCGAATGCCTTCTTCTCGGCCTCGCTCGAGTCCTTGCTCGACAAGTCGCCCAGCGCCGGGACGTCGAGGTCCGAAGTCGAGATCGACGAGACCGAGGCCGGGTTGAACGACGTCGTCCCCTTGGGCGCCGTCAGACGCGTCATGGTGAAGTGCAGGTGGACCGCCGGCGGGGGAACGCCTTGCATAAAGACCGAGCCTGGAGGATGAGAACAAGGACGGGCAGAGAGGGACAGTCTCGTTCAGCGCGACAAAGTTCAAGGCCATCGAAGGCGGGGCACGCGTGCGCGACGCCGCACTCACGAAGCGTGTAGTAGCTCTGACCGTAGCCAGCGGGAGGGATGCCGGGGTAGCCCGTGGTGAAGTCCTGTAGGCAGCGGAAGGTGGGCAGAGGTTTAGTGTCAGATCCCGGCCCAAGGAAACACGCCACAGCGAGCCTGGCACCACTCACCACAAGCCAGAGGTCGTCGACCTCCCTGCCCAACGTCCGCAGGCAGAAGAACAGCCCGGTGCTCCTGGGCAGCAACAGGTTCTCCAGGTCCTCGTACCCCATCTTGTCGGCGTACTTTTTCGAGAGCGGCCGCGTGTTGGGCGAGACGAGGGTGCCCTCGGGAAAGATGAGGAGGAGGAGCTTCTTGGTCGCCTCGGTTTCGTCGATGCGGTGCGCAGCGACCTCCTCGAGCTGCTGTGCGAGGGGCCCCTGGTCGGCCGCCCAGTTGCGGGCGAGGAAGATGAAGCGGAAGAACTGCATGCCCCATCCGACAAAGGGAACCCACTTCAGGCTCTTCTTGAGGATGATGAGGATCGAGTCGGCGAGGTCAGAGTAGTAGGCGAGGCACCAGAGGTAGAGCCAGTCGGTATAGACCTGGCCATCGGCAAGGGGGGAAGAAGCAGGGGCGCAGTTGGGGGAACGGCACGGGCGTCAGTGGCCGAGCAGCTGGCAGCACCTAGGGACGGTGCGGACGGGCACGCACCTGATGGTTGGACATCCACACGCTCTTCCTGGGTAGATCGACATGCTGCACCTTGCCGCTCTGCTTGTCGCGCTGCACAAACTGCTCCGGGTCGAGGTACCCGCCCTTGCCGTCGCCAAAGCTGAGGACGAGCCGGGTGGGCCCAAAGAACTGTGAAATGACCAGCAGCGCACGTCCAAACGCCAGCTTGGTATAGCGGATGATGGCGACGAAATAGGGCTGCGTGTTGGGGTGGAGCGACAGGGGAAAGGCGAGAATCTGGACCAGGTTGGCAGAGAGGATGCAGAAGTTGAACACCACCGCAAACAGGATCGTCTGCACGAGCGTCGACTGCGGCGCGCGAGACGAGATGGGGATCGTGTAGGCTTCGGGCGTCTTCAGGGGAGGGTTAGCGGGCGAAGGCCCGCCTCCGTCGGGGCGTTGCGCGGTGGCCATGGTGAGAGCAGAGGGGCGAGGCCGGGCGACGTTCTATCCGTTCCGTTCCGAGGCGATAAGTTACGAGTGCCGGAGTGCAGGGTGTCTGGAATTGCCTTCTATGCTTGATTCGTCAGAGCGTCGATTGCGGTGGATGTTGATCCTCGTCGAATCGACGTAGGGCCGGGAAGAGCGACAGAGGGGATGGTAGAGCGCTCGATGGATCGTGGGTTGTACCTCTTGCCTCTGCCCCTTGAGCGACGGACGGGACACACAAGCCGAATGGGCTGCCCTCGGCCTAGCCTCGACCCCTCCACCCCGTTTCCGCCGGGACCCTTGGAGCCAGGAACATGCACACGCACCCACGCACGAAAGCGTCAACCTGCGTGCCAGACAGCGCGGCATCGAGTCGGTTGCTGCAAACCCCAAAAAGGTAATGCCCCGTACTAGGCTCGAACTAGTGACCTTCTGTTTAACTCTCAGCTCATGCTGAAGCACCGTGTATTAGACAGATGCGATAATCCAACTACGCTAACGAGGCGGTTGATGTCACGGCCGATATATTGCAACATATGATCAAAAAACAAACGAAAGCTGTTGGTTCCGCCAGGCCGAGGCGGTCGTACGGCTTCCGGCGTTGCACGGAGCGGGGAAAATCACGGGCCACCGAGGCGTCGCTGTGGCCGATGCCGACTCTGCCCCGTGAATCGAGAATGGGCCCACGCTTCGCATCGTCACCGATGCGTCCGACTGCCCGCCCTCCTCTCCCTCTCACCATCACCATAACCATCACCGCCATCGCCACCGCCATTCTTGCACGGCCTTCGCATCCCATCTGAACGCATTTAGACAACCAAGCGTGAGTGTCGGCTGGAGGCTTGCGACTCGTAAGTGGTGGCTGCCGCGGATGGCCCTTTGCTGACCGGCCCTTCCTCGTCTCTCCATCTCTTTCTCTCTCGCCCTCAACGTTGAATCCTCCTGTCTCTCACCACGCCGACATCTGAATTATCGCCGCCGCCATCACCACCATGCTGTCAACCGACCGCACCGGCCCATCGCCGATGACCCCGGACTTGGCCGTGGTCTGATCGGATCGCTCGCTTGCCCACCCTTTGTCTCTCTCGCACGGGTGTTGCCCCGCGGCGCATATCTCGGCGTTTGGCGTTGCCCTTCTGGACGCCGGCGATTTCCCGTGCCCGCTGGCGCCCTCTTTGCCCCGCACACGCCTCCTGCCTGACTCCACCCCAATGCCGACGCCAACCCACCCTGCCTCGCTGGAACGGGTCCCCGCTGGCTCACCGTTCTTCTGGTCCCGCACTCCCCCTGCCCTCACCCTCATCAACACCACCACCATCACCGACGCCGCGTCCGACGCTCACATCCGGTCCCCGCTCGATCTCCTCTCCAACGGCCGCGCCATCCCTTCCGTCTCAACGCGGTCACTACCCGCACCCGGCATCTCGACGGTCCGCCGCCCACCGCCCTTCACGTCCCTTCCCCGGCTCGCCATGACCGACAATAAAATCGCGGCCGCCCCTGGCTCAACCCCGACCTCGCCGACGTCGCTCCCCATCGTCGGATCGCCCTCGTCCTCGCGGCCCTCTGCCACCTCGGCCACCATCACCCACGCCACCGGTCCCACGGCTGCTGGCACAGCACAGACCCGCGTCCAACAACTCCAGCAGCACCTCTCCCAGCGCCTCCCCTCCACGCTCAAATACGCCATGTCGACCCAGGAGTTCAAGCAGGCGCCCCACAAGCTCCTCGTCATCCCCGGCCCCATTGAGGTCGCCGACGATGTGCTGCTCGCCAACGCCCACCCGGCCATGTCGCACGTCTCGCCCGACTTTGTTCCCGTCTTTGGCGACTGCATCCGCATGCTGAGGTGAGCCGCAAGCGGGACCCGGACCTGAAACATCTTCGCCGACCCGACTGACCCTATCGCCGTTTGCTCTTGCCGCCGCCGCGCAGAGAGGTGCTGTTCTCGACCGAGGCGCAGCCCGTGCTCACCGCCGGCTCCGGCACGCTCGGCTGGGACCACGTCGCGGCCAACTGCCTGCAGCCCGGCGAGAGCGCGCTGGTGCTCAACTCGGGCTACTTTGGCGACAGCTTCGCCGAGTGCCTCGAGGTGTACGGCGCCAAGGTGGACCAGATCAAGGCGCCGATCGGCTCCAAGCCCTCGCTCGCCGAGGTCGAGGAGGCGCTCAAGAAGAAGAAGTACAAGGTGCTCACCTTTACCCACGTCGACACGAGCACGGGCGTGCTGAGCGACGCCAAGGGCCTCGGCGAGCTCGTCAAGCGCGTCAGCCCCGAGACGATCCTCGTCCTCGACGGCGTGTGCAGCGTCGCCAGTGAGGAGATCCGCATGGACGCGTGGGGCATCGACGTCGTCCTTACCGCCTCGCAAAAGGGCCTGGGCTGCCCTCCCGGCCTGATGATCCTGGCGGCCAGCAAGAAGGCCATCGCCGCGTTCGAGAGCCGGACGGCGCCGCCGACGAGCTACTACGCGTCGTGGTCCAAGTGGCTGCCCGTCATGAAGGCCTACGAGTCCGGCACGGGCGCCTACTTTGGCACGCCGCCGACCAACCTCATCTACGCGCTCCACGCCAGCCTGTCGACCATCACAAAGGGCGCCGTGTCGGTCGAGCAGCGCCTCCAGATGCACGTCGAGGCCTCGGACCGCGTCAAGAACTTTGTCACCCACGACCTCGGCCTCAAGCAGCTCGTCGCCGACGGCATCAAGGACGGCGCCCACGGCATGACGGCCGTGCGCTACCCGCAGGGCATCAAGGCCACCGACCTGCTGCCCAAGCTCGTCGCCCGAAACATTGTCGTCGCCGCCGGCCTGCACAAGCAGTGCAAGGACGAGTACTTCCGCATCGGCCACATGGGCGTCACCGTCGTCGACGACAAGCAGCGCGGCGACCTCGACCACCTCCTCAAGAGCATCAAGGAGGCCCTCGCCGAGGCCGGCTACAAGGCCTAGGTTGCGCTTGCCCCGTAGACTCCGCGTCGCCGCCGCCGCGCGCATCGACCCCGTCTGTGATCTGTGGTAATCGCAATTGAAAAAACGGCAACCGGAGGTAACAACTGGCAGAGAACAGGGAATGCATCGGATCTACAGGAGGCGTTCGAGTATCGCAGAGGGGCCGCGTCGTTTCCGCCGTCACCCGTACCGCGCCTGGCCTACGGCAGGGCTCACTTGTAGAGCGCGCGGCGGGCGGCCTTGACGACGAGCTCCGTGTTGGGGAAGCAGAGCTTCTCTAGCGGCTCAGAGTAGGCGGTGGGGATGGCGGCGCCCGTGACGCGCTCGACGGGGGCGTCCAAGTAGTCGAAGGCGTAGTCGTTGATGGTGGCCGTGACCTCGGAGCCGACGCTGCCGAAGGGGAAGCCCGACTCGCAGGTGACGGCGCGGTTGGTCTTCCTGACCGACTCGAGGATGGTGTCGACGTCGAGCGGCGCAATGGTGCGCAGGTTGATGACCTCGGCCTCGACGCCTTCCTCCTTCTTGAGGATCTCGGCGGCCTCCATGGCGTACGTCATGCCAATCGAGTGCGAGATGAGCGTGATGTCCTTGCCGGCGCGCTCGACCTTGGCCTTGCCAATCGGGATGACAAAGTCGTCAGAGAGGACCTCCTGGCTGACGGGGAAGCTGGTGCCGTACATGATCTCGTTCTCGAGGACAATGACCGGGTTCGGGTCGCGGATGGCGGCCTTGAGCAGGCCGCGGCAGTCCTCGGCGCTCCACGGGCTGACGGTCTTGAGACCGGGGATCGAGGCGTACCACGCCGCGTAGTCCTGCGAGTGCTGGGCGCCGACACCGGCAGCGGCGCCGTTGGGGCCGCGGAAGACGATGGGGCACGGCACGTTGCCGCCGGACATGTAGTAAGTCTTGCCACCCGAGTTGATGACCTGGTCGATGGCCTGCATCGCGAAGCTGTGAGGCGCACAGCGGAGAAGGGTCGACATGCGATCGGTCAGCAAGGCGTCGGGCGGAGCAACGAAGGACCAGCCCGCTGCGACGGACGGTGCGCGCCCGCACTCACTTGAACGTCATGAACTCGCAGACGGGGCGAAGGCCAGAGAGGGCCGCACCGACGGCGAGACCGGCGAAACCGGCCTCGGTGATGGGCGTGTCAATGACACGTCGCTCGCCGAACTTGTCGAGGAGGCCACGGGTGACCTTGTACGCGCCGTTGTCTGTTGGCGTACAGGGGTGCGGGAGACGTGGTCAGAGACGCGGTTCTGCAGAGGACGCGGCGGGCTGCACCTCTGCCGACTCCAAGGGCAGGGCCAGCTCCGCAGGGAGGCACGGCAGCGCGACCGGCCGGTCACTCACATCGGGCGACCTCTTCGCCGAGGATGAAGACGTTGTCGTCCCTGAGCATCTCCTCCTCCATGGCCGAGTTGAGCGCATCACGGACGGTCATCTCCTGGGGCTTTCCATCGGTGCTGGCGTTGCGCGAGGACGAGGGGATGAAGGCGGTGAGGGCGGCAGGGTTGGTGGTCAACCGCGACGAGCTGGCGACGGGCGAGGCGGACGAGGTCTGCTGGAGCAGCTTCGAGGGCTGCCTGATGGCAGACGAGGTGCCGAGGCAGCGGGCCTGGGTGCGCGAGGCGGCGGCACCGACCTGGCTGCGGGCCAGCGAGGCAAATGCGGTACGGGCGGCGGACATGTCGACAGAGGAGGTGGCGGCGAGGACCGAGGAGGGGAGGATGACGGAGGGGAGGAGGGCGAAGAGGGTAGGAGGGATGGCGGGGGTGGTGGTGGTGGCGGCGATGGTGCTGCTGAGAGATCCAGAGAGTTGGCCAGGCGAGATGGCGTGGGCGAAGGCGAGGTTGCTTGTCGATCAACGGCGGCGGCGGCGAGGGACGAGGAGCAGGTAAGATGGGGGCGGCGACGGCCAGACTTCGAGATGGGCCGCACGGTCGAACCCTGCCTGCCTGCCTGCCTGCCTGCGAGGCTGCCGCTCGCTCTGGCCTCTGCGCCCGACAAAAAAGAAGACGGCCGCGCGCCTGCCTGCCTCTCCCTTTCGCCGACGTCGGCGGGCGCCTTCCAAAAATTTGGATTTTTTTCGCGCTCCCCCACCCTCGCAGCGAGCAGCGGAATATCGATCCCCCCCTCCGTCCGCCGCACGGCCTCAGCTTGCCGTCGGCGATACGATGTTGCCCTTCGAAGGGACGGTTGGCTGGCAGGTCTTCATGTCGAGCACTGAGCCAGCGACATGTCTAGCATCCTAGACCACGATGTCGAGAGGAGGCACCAGGCGATGAGGCCGGAAGAGGGGCGGCGGAGACCGACATGCTCTCCCGTCCACGCCGACGGCAAGTTCCGCTCGCGTGCTTGCCCCAAAAGCGCGGCGGGCAGGGGGGGCCACCCACCGAGACCAGGCCTGGTCAAAGGGTTTCTTGGGGCAGCCAGCGAGCGGCGTGTTGGCCGGCGTCGAGCCAGCTGGCCCCTCGGCGCGTAGTCGGTCCAAGCCAAGGCCTGCCTGGCCCTCGTCGGGACAGATCGAATTTTTGCCATGCCTTGCCCGATAAGACCCCACCCGATGTCTAGCGGAGAGCCATCCTCCGTCTTCCGAGCCTGGCAATGATCACGTTCGGCTGGCTGGTCAGGCAGGCCAGGCTGACGGGCGTGGGGTTTTGCTGGGCCTGCGTTGGACGCGGCGCTTCCGCCTTGTACCTACGACAACCATCCACAGCCCATCGACCTGCAGATTCCCTCTCATCACGCGCGGAGAGATCGACGTACAACCGACTCAGGACACGGACGGACGACCCGACAGCAGCGTCTCGCTCGACCCGCAACATCAGACACACGTTTGCCGGCCAAGAACGCTCGCCTAGACCCCGGCTGCGACCGCACGGGCTCGCTCTGCGCCCATCATGAGTGAGTGACGGGCCTTGCGACCGTCAGCTTGCCGCCCAGCCCTGGCTGACATTGGCTCTCCTCGCCCGCTCCTGCCACACCCCACCGCAGTGGATGACCTGTCGACGGGCTCGTCGGACTACGCCGCCAACTCGTGGGTGACGTGGTTCCTCTCGACCAAGGGCAACGAGTACTTTTGCGAGGTCGACGAGGACTACATTCTGGACCGCTTCAACCTGACCGGGCTCAACGCCGAGGTGCAGCACTATCCGCAGGCGCTCGACCTCATCACGGATGCGCTCGAGGACGACCTCGAGGACGAGTCGCGCGACCAGGTCGAGGCACAGGCCCGCCTGCTCTACGGCCTCGTCCACGCGCGCTACATCATCACCACCCGCGGCCTGGCAAAGATGCTCGAAAAGTACAAGCGCGCCGACTTTGGACGGTGCCCGCGCGTGCTATGCTACCAGCAGGCACTCCTCCCCGTCGGGCTCTCGGACCTGCCCTTTCAAAAAGCCGTCAAGCTCTACTGTCCGCGGTGCGAGGACATCTACAGTCCCAAGAGCAGCCGGCACGGAACCATCGACGGCGCCTTCTTCGGGAGCACCTTTCCGCACATGCTCGTGAGTGTCTGGCGTCGGTGCAGGCCGGCCGGTCGAGATCCCAGAGAGACCGCGCGCAACGCTGACAGAGCACGCTGCCTACTCTGCGCTTCATCCCGCAGTTTATGGTCTACCCCAACATGATGCCGGCCAAGTCGCCGTCGCAGTCTCCGTTCCTTCTGGGCAGCTCGTCGGCGCATCGCTCGGCCAACGACGCTGGTCGGGGCAGCGGCGCAGGCGGCGGCGGACCTGGTGCACTGGAGCAGGCAGGCGTGGACGATTCCATCATCTCGACACCGGGAGGCGGCAACGTCAACCCATCGGCGGTGGCCGTCGCGGCGGGATCGAGCGCAGGCGGAGCCGGGCCGGGCGCCGTGCGGGCGTCGGGCGGCGAGGCGAGCGAGCGGGTCGACGGCGGCGGCGGGCGGCCAAGGTGGAGCGGTACCGCCGCG